ATTAACGTATCGAAGTGTCGTGTCCCGTATCGGTGTCCGTGCATCATTGATGGACGTAGAGTCTGCGGGTAACTTGGTTTGCAAATAATTTGCAGGGAACTTTACAGGTAAGTTCTCGGTTTAAGAGTTTTCTCCGTTTACGATTGTTCCACCGTAACCAAGTAGGTTATGGTTTCTGATTGAAATAATAGTTATGAATGTCATGACTTAACATAGTTGCATTCATATAGGATCAATATGTATAAAATTAATATAACATAAATTGCATGATCTTATGTGAATTAAATTAATGTATGTGTAATTAATAATGACATGAATTGTTATGTGCATAAATATCAATGAATATGATTCACTATAATTAAATGTAAGGTGAATTATGTTACTAATGTTAAATGTATTCTGTTTGATTTGATATTTGTAATTAAGTGATCTGTTTAAATTGCTGTAATTAATTGTGTTGTGAACTGTTATGTGTAATTTGATGTAATTATATTTGATATGCTGTGAGCAAATGCAAAATGATTTAACATGTTGTGGTTGAGTGAAATATATGAAAGGAGACTAATGCATGATGTTTGATTTAATATCTGCAATTAACATGTTATGTTTTATTTGATATCGGTGTGCAAAATATTATGTTTTGTTTGATATATATATATATATATATATATATATATATATATATATATATATATATATATGCAAAGTGTTATGTTTGATTTGTTTGTGAAATTATATGTTGTGTTTGAAATTCTGTATTGTGGTAGGAATATGTGACGTGATTAAAATTATGTGTTATGAGTGTTTAACATTCTGCTTGTGATTTGGTGTCAGCATATGAAATATTGTGTTGTAATTAATCTGATATAAGGACTAATGGATAGTGTATAGTTTATAGTACACTAAATATAAAAAGAGTGATGTTCGAGAAATGTTCCATAAGTTAATTAAGCCTAGGAAATGATTATAAAGAGGTGATATTTGTGAAAAAGAGTGATGGGCATATATATAATTATATATTATATATACATATTTGTGAATTCCACGTATGAGGTCATTGAGTACATTGGTCGTACTAGTTGAGTGCATCTGAAACATCAGTGACACTGGTGGAATATATTGAGTTATTACCGTGAACGCATCCAGTCTTCAGTTGGTTCCGGATACTTTGTGTATCAGAGATATTTGATATTATGATGTGTTTTGATGATTGTGATGGTTTTGATTTTGTCAGTTCTGATTCAAGTGAGTTTCTAATTAACTTGATTAGCATGAATATCTAATCTTTCTGATTGTTAAAAGTATATGATGTTGCTGATAATCTTGATAGGAGTTCGGAATAAATAATATTGAATTGATCAAAGGAACTCTAAATTATCAGAGAAAGAAAGTAAATGATTTTGTATGAAAATATATTCGTGTGTTTGTGTAAAATATTTAATTAAATAATTAAAAGACTGTATGGTGTGGTCTATGTTTTGTGTCGGACATGTTCTGCAGGAAGTGAACTCGTGGGTGGAGACAGCTGTATAAACCCCGAGCTTATTGAGATTCGTTTTCACCCCGCATTATGGGATATATTTCAGGTACAATAGTCGTTGGAGAAGTATCCATAGGAAAGGAATCAGTGCTTGGCAAGTAGAGTCTTGCATGGAGCAGTAGCCTGATAAATGTTTGTTTTGAGACTATCTATAAATATGTTTTACTATAAGCATCTTGGAGAGGCTTATCTATATATTATACAGTAGAAGCTGAGATGTATTTTATTTACAAATTAAGATGTATTGATTTACTATCTATCAGGTGTAAAGAAATCATGGGATTGTAATCCCTAGAAATATTCAATTTATAGCCATTATGTTGTCTGTGGTTTCTGTCAGAGATAGTACTTGTTATTATATTCGAGGAGAGACTTGATAATTGGATATGGTTTTGTAAGTTAAATAGAGTTCTATATGGTTATGAGACTATATAGAATTAAAGTTAAAAATAATAAATGAAGTAAGGCAATTACATAAACAAAATTAAAAAAAAAAGTCAAATCACGTCATTAATGGTAAGTTAATGTGATACTTTTAATTAAGTCTTCCGTTAATTTAATTCAATGTGTAGGTAGCACTTTTATACCATAATATCAGTTAACATAACGGCTAGAGACGGGATGTTACAAATTGCCCTTTCAAGTTCATCAAACATTTGTATTAGATTACATTAAAATTAAAAGTAAAATAATATATCATAAATTTGCCTCCCTTTATTTTTGTTTTTCCCTATGTACAACAAAAAAATTAAAGAGTTCTTTAAATTTGATTACGTATCTATCCGGTACTGTGTTGCCCCGCCTAATTTAGTGTAAATGTAAAATTCTTTTGCCACCACTTACAAAATTTTCTAACTTCGTCATTGTGCGGGATACTGACCAAAATGTCACTGTTCACCAACTTTTTTACCTAAATGCCACGCGAACAGTGTTATTTCCCAATCTGCCACGGGGGCAAGTTCGCTTCTGACACAAGCGACCTCGGTTTGCTGACGTGTCACATTTTTAGTGGATAACAAGTATTAAATTTAAAAAAAAAAATTCAAAAAAATGAAGTTCGCCTACCATGTAGGCGAACTGGATTAAAATATTATTGAAATCGAGGTCGCCTGTGTCAGAAGCGAACTCTGACACCACCAGGAAGCTGACACATCAGCAAACCGAGGTCGCTTGTGTCAGAAGCGAACTTGCCCCGTGGCAGATCGGAAAATAACACTGTTCGCGTGGCATTTAGGTGAAAAAGTTGGTGAACAGTGGCACAATATTCCTCATTGTGCCGCACCAAATACACTTCGCATACTGGTCAGTGCCTTTGCCTATCCTTAGTCAGAGTGAAGATGAGAAGGCTTAAATTAGTAGTTGAAAATGACAACATAACGTGACAGAATTATGTTGTTTTTAATTATGTGTTTGAGGTGAATCAGCCCTCCGGTATTCTTATAAGATTCAACTCTTTGAACTGGTTATGAGACTAATCCCGAGTCAGGGATTAGTCACAGCTAAAATTATTCACCTCTTCCCAAAGATGTATTTGATTGAAATCAAACTCAAATTTTCTCTTCACTCTTAGTTTGTGTTGCCAACTGAGTTACACTCACTGAATACACATAATAATGTTATGGTATATTGTTAACAAGCATAGTTATTCTTTGAAACTGAATCACCAGGGAGCGCATAAATCTTGAGATGTGAACTAAAATATAGTAGGATTGAAAATAAAACAGGCGATGGGGGTTCAAATCATGAAATTCAGGTTAAAGTAACTTCCCAAATTTGTGGGTGCACCTATCGAATACACAAATACTTAGTTAGAAGAATCAAATTTGACATAGATCCGGCAAGGAAATCAGATATAACTAGTTTTATGTTGAGTTACTTCCACACCAAGAAAAGATGCTGAGTTACTGGCTGACTCAATCGAATTTGATAAATTTTTTAAGAAATTATAATGCTCAGGCAAACAGAGTCCAAATATAAGTCTCACCCTCATCTGGGTGGAACTCACCTCGTTGTATATATGTGTATTTGGTGCATACTATGGACTATGCAACGGAACTCATTTTATTTATCTCAGTTAAGCTATAGTCAGTGGCGGACGACATAAAAATTTTAATTTCAGTTTTTCTTTCCTTGATTCAGGTTCTTATTTGTCTCTTGGTTCAATATATATATTAAGAATAAATACCCTTTTAAGTTTCTAACGAAAAACATGGTCCCCATTTTAGTCTCTTACAAAGAAAATTAGTCTCGAAGTCCCTAAAAAATTTATAGTTGATTAATTTAGTTAAAATCGTGGTCCCTCACAAATTCAAAAAAGACCTACATTAATCCCTCAAAAAAAACAAAATGAGTTCACTTTGAATTTCATAGGAACCAGGTGACTACTTTTTTTTTTATAAAGACCTAAAGTGGGGACCGAATTTTTTGTTAGTGACCAAAAATGATATTTATTCTTATATTAGTTAGCAACGTAGCAACGTAAGGAGATGATTAAAACAACGTAGCAACACAAATTGATTAGAGAGAAAACTTATTCTTCCTCCCTTGTCATGTACCAATTCCCATGCTCTCTTCATCCTTTGTTTCCTTTTTCATTTTTATAAAAAGAGAAGATTGATTGCAGGTTTGACATTCTCAAGAAAGTTAATATCTAGAGACGTGTGATTTTGCTTGCCTTCTGTACAGGTAGTGTTAACTTTTTTATTCACCACTATAAAATAAAATGATGATGTATGGATGTACTGGAGTATATTCTCATTTGTTTTGGAGGATTGGTAAGATTTAGGAGGAAAATAATTGGTCAAACTATTGGCTGCAACTTGTTATGGAAGCAACTAGATTATGAGCGGGTTCAAGCGTTGATTTAAACTTTATTTACAACAAAAAAAATTCGGGGGCCCCATCACTAAATGTGCAGACATAAAAAATATTTCCTGCGTCCACCACTGCCTATAGTAATCAAAATTTATTAAGAAATACAGCTAATATTGCTTGACATACACAAGAATAATAATTTGTAAAATTTAAATGGAATAATTACAATATGGCTCGACTAAAATTAATTATAAAAATAGTATAATAAGTTTCTCTGTCAATTTTAATGTGTATCAAATTGTTTTAATTTAATATGCATTGTTTTAAGTAATGCATAACTACTTTCAACAAAGGGAAGCAAATGAGTAGTACAAGTTAGTATTTCAATCCAGAACTACTTTGCAGGAAAACTTATAAAGAAGCTAATCAAACACAAAAAGAAATAAAAAATAGTTGGAAAAGTTGTCATATAGATGATCACAACTAGAAATCAATGTTAGCTTTTCAAAAAAAATAAAAATTACTCATATATAGAACTAATAGGGTTTGTAATTACCAAAGAATAGGGATAACTGAAACACGTGTCATCTTATACGGAGCAAATATAATTTCCTATCAAATTTTTGAGATATAACATAACGTAGATGTTAGAAGTGAGTGCATATGGATAGGGATAAGAGTTGTTAGTGCGAGTTACCAAACTAACGACATTGCATTATATACATGATTTACATCACTTTCCCGCAAATGATTACTTATACTATTTATCCTCTGTTATCAACGGCCCCGAATCAGGTTAGTTGGCTCACTCAAAACGTAGTTTGGTAGCTCATATTTTGCTCCTGAAATGTATAAACATTAGAAGTTTAGAACAAGAAAACATTAATGGAGGTAACCAAAGCTTGAACACCATAATAATAAGAAGAAAAAAACACGAAGGTGAAGCAGTACATATTCTGAGCGCCCCCACAAAATGAAATAAAAAAAATTATCAAATAAAAAGCAAAATAAACACTAAAATATTTAAAATAGATTGTAAAAAGTGTGTTACATCAATATATGTCGAGTTCTAGCAATTTACCTCCAAATCAAACACATGAATATAACGTTCTTCCAAATTTCATGAAATATTCTGAGGAATATGTTATAGCAAACCACACAATTTTGGATACCTTCTAAAGAATCACATTCCGATGATGAAAAGTCATTCCACAACCCAAATGCCCCCTAGGTGCAGTTTATTTTCATAAACAAAATTAAAATTTTAAATCAAATGAAAATATTTCAATTAAATTTCTGTACTTTTGATTAAAGAGTGACGACCCAGATTATCAAACCAGATCATTTATGCCAGATGACTTTTCCCAATTCATATTTTTAAAAATTCTGTTCTAAAATATAGTAAATAAGGGAATGCAACATTAGCTAAATACCTCTTTCATCATAGCATTCTGTCAAATCATTATTCTGGACAATGATACCAGCACTATCCACAATAGTTTGTGCTAAAGTTCGATCAGAAACATCTGCAGCAGCTCGAAGAGCATCCCAAATTTCTAGCATGCAGAAAATAAGTATCTTAAAACACTCAATACTAGAATGATTGACCACAATAAATGACCTTGTAAAACTAGATGACATTAATCTTGTTTTGTTGTGATAAAAATTAGATAATATTAAAGTACCTTGATATCATTATTGGCCTTATATCACTTTATTATTTATCAAATGATTTTATTATTCGGCATAAATGTTATATTCTACAGCTAAAAGCCCTGGCAAAGTCATTCTGAACATAATGATCCTTCTTTCAACAGGTAAATAAATATATCTTTGATTCTTTTGAAAATTGTCCTAACTTACCTAACCAATCAAATATCACATTCAATTTGAATTTGTATACATTCATTCGCATGTTTCTTGTCTGCTCAGTATTGCATATATAAAGCAAGACAGTCCTTAAAGCCATGTCATCCAAAATTAGCTTTGGTAACACTGCATCTTTATGTGTCAATGGTAGCATGTATTACTACAGAAAAACCAAAAACCACTCCCCGTTAAACCCGACTAGCGAGTGTGGGGTGGAGGAAATCTTTGTACGCAGTCTTACCCTTGCATAACTGCAAAGATGCTGTTTCCTGGATTCGAACCCATGACCTTTCAGTCGTGAAGGAACAATTACTACAGAATGCAATAAAAAGATGAAAAATAAACTTCACTAGATACTTTGTAAAATCAGTGTGAAAATGAATCTAAATTAAGATGAAGCCATCCAGCAGCAAACTATTGGAAGTGAACTGATTCATATAAAGTACATTAAAAGCTAATGAAATCTCCAATAGACCTTGAAAGGTTCAAAATATAGTCATTTTATAGGATTATGATAATACCTTTCCGGCCACCATAATGAGGAGCTGTATCCCAAAATTCTTCTCGCAACTGCATTAGATGAGTCCTTGTTATTGGTTGAGGATGCCTCCAAGGCTTAGGCTTTCGGAGCTTTGTTACCTCCCCTGTTAAAATGTTTCAACATTCCATCAGTGTAAATGGCAACAGACATAATATGTTAATCTAAAACTTAAAGCATTATCATCAGCAACAGGCCACTAAGATTACAAAGATGAGAGTTACACTTTAGCATACTGTAGGGAATGAGAAATCTAACTACAACAATTAGCAAATAATAAATAAGGAGAATTTGACTTACAACTGAATCTTATAAAGGGAGAAAACACTTTTATGAATCTAAAACATTCTGCAATCTACACTACACGAAAGGATACAAATGAAGGAAAATCACATGCTCCAACACCCCATTAGTGGTTAAAATTCAAATCATAACAAAAAAAAAAACTTATTTGGATGCAAGTTGAATTTGATTGACTGGGAAAAAATCTTATTGTGGTTGCAAATTTTTTATTTTATTTTTTCTCATTCTCCTCAGTCCAATAAATCTTTTTCTTGTTTTTTTCAGTCTTATCTCATTCAGTCTTTTCAAAGGTAGACAAAATTGCAAGCTGAATTTTAACTATCATGCATGTTTCAGAACGTGGAAGCACCATCTCAAAAGAACAAAAACAAGAAAAAATGGGAACCCGTCATAGTGTTAAGCAATCATGCTCAAAGTAACAAGATAGAAGGGGCTAATTTATTTTGCATGTATCATATCTGAAAATTAGTTCTTTGACAGGTATTTCTACCATTCCTTCTCCGTTTCTACACTTGTTAGTTTAGCTCACACAGCTAGATATTCGGATCCAGTGAATGTGGTATATAAAAGACAAGGCTTTTATAGCAGTAAGGAAACACAAGACTCAGGTGGTATTATCCATAGAACCAAAATCAAAATCAACATTATTAGATAAATTCATAAGCAATTTTATTTCAATATTATTATTTTCTTGACCCCTTGTATCTCTACACACACCCAAATTTCAATGCCCAACTTCACAAGGGAATGCAGAGGAACCAATTTTCATCATTAATTCAATCCAACAAAATCTAACTACACCAAAAACCCCATCAATAACTAAATTTTTATATTACAAAAAGAAAGATGGACCAAGCAAATATCTTGAACGTATTAAAGCAACTCCCAGCATCATTTAGAGTTGAATTAAGCAGATCATATCCTAACTCTTATCCAAGAACAGAAATTCTTAGAGCAACAATCAATCAGAAAAATGAACAAAAGCCAGGAAAACAAAATATAAAAGATTAATGCTCTCTATAGTTAAAGATGGTAGCATTTTCATTGTTTTAGATATAATGTGATAAATATCCGAAGTAAAAAAAAGAAGAAGAAAGAAAGAATTGTTTCGCCTGTGCCCTATGCAGCTAAGTTATTTTGCTTAAAGATTACATTTTCCATAATCAATACATGAATGGTTAACATGGGCATTTACAATTATCAGTGTCAAAAATCTTCCAACAAACAAAACCCAGAAAGAACATATCTTTTGTTTTTCAACACAACCCAACATCAATTTTCTGAAGCTTTTCCAAAACCCAAATGCAAAGATTAAAACTCTGACGACAGATGAATGAAAAGCAAAGCAGGGCAAAGACAGAGTTGGTGTAGAAGCCTCACCATTTGTCTTGGACTGTGATGATCCAACACAACCCATTGGAACTCGGAACTTGGCACCAACAAAGAAAACAAAGAAAGAAACAAAAGTGTAAATGAAAAAAGAAAGAAAGGTGTATTAGAATTTATAAGTATTCTGTTGCTAATTTGCTACGTTATCAAACGAGAAATGGGTACACTGTGTCAAAGATCAAGGTGGCGTTGTGTGGGGCTTTGATTTATGAGGCATTCTTAGCTGCCAGCCATATGTATCATATGGAAGGGAGAATAATAAAATATTATATTTTGAAAATTTAATTTTTTTTGCAGGACATGATATTTTAAAAACTTATATTTTTTTTTTTTGGTAAGCTTAAAAACTTATATCTTATTTAAATAAATGTGTGCTCGGTGCATATATCTTTTATGTCAAATTTTAAAATTTTACATCAAATTTAATCGTTAATTTTCGTTAATTAATAATTATAATTTTTGCTAATCAAAATTATTAATTATTTATTCATTTTCAATAAATAATAATTGTTGATTGAAAGAAATCAACGGCTAAGATTCGATATCAAATTTCAAAGTTTGACAGCGGTGTCAAAGGATCTTATCTCATGTGTTAAATTAGTTATGGAAGTCTAATTGATCTTTCCTTTTCACACTTAAAACTCTTTGTCTCTTCTCGAATATATATTTGATAAAAATCAAACACATATTTTCTCCCTATTTACTCAATTTATGTTCTCAACTGAACTATACTCATTGGTCTTATTCATCTTTCATTTAAATAAAATAAAATTTCATGTTCTAGGGATAGTATAGTATGTGTTGTACTACTCCTAGTACATATAGTTTATAAAAGTTTGTAAACAAAAAATTTATAAAAATAATTTTTCTCATAATTTATGTAGATATCCTGACACACCTTCATGTTAAAAAAATTATTATTAATAGTTTATAAAACTATTATTAGTCCTTGTTAATATATAATAATAGTTTAGGTATAAGATTATATTTACAAATTTGTTTTTACAAACTACACTATGTACTAGAGGTAGTATAGTATGTGCTGTACTACTCCTAGTACATATAGTTTATAAAAGTTTGTAAACAAAAAATTTATAAAAATAATTTTTCTCATAATTTATTTAGATATCCTGACACACCTTCATGTTAAAAAAATTTACTTTTCCAATTATTTTAAGATAATATCAGAAATATTTTTCCCAAATATATTACTTTATGGAGTATTGATGCACTTAAAGTTAACTAATTACAAATTATTCAAATAATATTTTCCTCATATGTATAAAGAATCACCAATTTAAATTATAACACTATCAAATCTAAATGAAAATAAAGCATCAAATATGATTATGATTTGTTTGAAAAAAAAAATTAGCATGATTTGAGATATAAGATTTGTGATGTATTTTAAATAATTTAGTTTTTTATTTTTTATTTTTAAAAGATAGACATTGTTGTATGTATTTTTAGAATTTTTTTTTCTTTGGTAAACTTATTTTTAGAATTTTAAATTTTAAAATAATTTGTTATTTATTTATCATAAGAGTTAAATATTTTATTATTTTAATAATTGAAAATCGGAAAATTACTCTTTTATAAATCAAAACTTTTTGTTTATCCACTTTTCAATATACTTTCCGAATTACGGTTTTAAGTAAAAATACTATTTTTCTAGTTAATCAAGTGGAATATATATTAGATTAAAATAATAAATCATAAAAAATCTGCATATCATATAATCTTTCAATTACAAACTCTAATTTTTCTAGTTTTCTTTATTACTTAATTCAATTTGAAGTTTGTTCATTTATTACTTATATGAAAATTAGCTTTAAATGTTTAAAAAAGTTCAAAATAAAAAATATATATATAAATTTGGTAAAAAAAAAATATTTGTCGTCTTTCTGGTTTTACCCTTCTCAAATAGAATTAATCAGGCAAGTAGAAAAATAAAAAAATAAAAAATAAAAAACCTACAGATCTCATGGAGGTAAAACATATAGCAGCAGGGGCACTCCCACTATTTATTTTGACATTCTTCGGGCAAATTAGCCAAACACGAAGGTTCCTAAGCAGTTCAATTTGTAGTTTGCACAATTTGTATTTCGTACAATTTTATTAAGTAAAAAAATATATATTACTTGCCAAGTCCACAGTTATTATAAAGATGAGAATAAAAATTAAAACGATGGATTTACTCAGAAGTATTCACTGATTTGAGGTGGATGAGTGGTTTAATCAACTTTAGATTTAGTTGAAAACAAATGTACTGAAGATAAAGAATATTAAGGTGCTAAAAGATACGATTACAAAGAAGGTACCTACTGCCTAATGGGGGAAAAAAATTAAAAAAGTGTGCAACGTGCACAGTTTAGTCATTTTAAAACAAGCTAGACCTAGATTCTAGTTAAAAAGTTGTTAAAATAAAAGATAGTTTTGATTAAAATGATAAGAATAAAAATTACAAGACAAAATCCAAAATTATCATTTTTAAAAAGTTATAATTTTTTTGATACAACTCTAATTACCTCTTTGACACCAGTCAGTTACCGAATATATTAACATTTTCTTTTCACCTAAACATTACCAATTGAGTTACACTCATTAGGTTAAAAGTTATAATTTCGTAATGCTAAATATTCATTAATATAATATATTAGCTTTGGGCGATGTTCCTTTTTTTTATTTTTTATACTTATCATACAAGTTTAATTTTGGTGTATTAACTAATTAAAGACTTAATTTTAAAGCTCATCAATAAAATGCTAAGCCCAGTGTTAGAATATCATAACAATAAATACCAATTAAAAAAATCTAACATGACAACGACGTTTGTCAAAAAATATACATTAAGTTTTGCTAAAGCTTTACATTGTTTTTCCCTTTAATTAATATGTTAAATTGGGTATTTTTATCTTATTAATATTTTCAAATTAATAAAGATAATTTTTGATAAAAAAAAATTTGTACTCTAATCTTAATTCAAGTGGCACAAAATATGTTTGTAAACTATCCTGAAATCATATATCAATTTGAAATGACAGTGGAACGAGTTTGATAGGTCTTGTTTTTTGTCCAATAAATCAAAGTAGCCATTTTAGCAAGATTCTCGTGCCTAAGACTGCTTGTGAACAGTTCAACCGAACTTTTAAAAGAGAGAGAAAAGAGCTAAAAAAGATCAATTGGATTGTGACCAATGCGGACTAGGAAACATAACAGCGGAACCCCCGAACCATATCAGGTAAATAAACCGTAAGACCTTCCATCCTACCCCTGTCTATTTGTCCAACCATTGAAATTTGAAACTACTAAAATTGCACCATTAGTACTTTTTTGTTTGTTTGAGAAGTATGGGAATTCAACACACTACACACATCCCACACCACTAGGCTAACCCCTAGTGATTGCACCATTAGTACTTTTAACTTACAGATAATCGAAGGACAATTGTAGGAATTATTGGATCTGCGAAAGCGTTTTAGACCATTGCGGTTTTGGAGGCAAATAAATCATCATCGTTTTTCTGATTTACGTCTTGATGCGTAGATCTCATGTAGAATCTTCCTATGTACGATTCATCTTCACAAACTGCTCTCCTCAGCGTCGCAGCATGAACAAACTCCTTGAGGCTGGACAATGGCAGATCTTCCAGACTATGTCTCAAGGAAAAAAGGGAAGTGTGTGGGCACTCTCTCAGTTTCAGGGAGATGACCTTACCTCAGCCTCTGCAACCACTAAGTGAAGACCTCAGAGGCTAACGACTATAAGTGTAGAATATATATAAGTTCCAAGAAATCCTAGCCCTAAACTGAATGAGCTTTAGGTTTCTTGGGCTCTTTTTACACACTAGGTCTTATTGAGCTTTAGTGAAAGAGCAAAACCCAACAATTTATCACTTGCTCTTGAGTACAAACTTTAGCCCAAAGCCCAAGACCATGTAAATCACTAGTCTTCGTCAATTGAAATTGTCCAATCCCTTATCTTGAGCTAGCCTAGGGATCTCCCATCTATTATTAATCAAGGCTCCTGAAAATCAACTAACTGATGCTACTCTACTAAAAGTCTGAACTTGGACTCCAAGATTAATAACACATATAACATGAATATGCATCGCCTTTTTGTAGAATGTCTATAATTGATTGACAAGTTTTCTGTAACTCAATCAATTATTTATTCCCTTGATATGATAATTTCTCTAATGGATTACTTGCACTGGGAAATGTCTTCAATATCCAAGTACGAAACATATCAAGGGGACATATCCTACAAATTCCATGTTGTTTATCTCATAAATATCGATAATCAAATAATTTCACTCCCAAAATACCGAGTTATTGGCCGTCAATAGATCGGTCATCACCCGTTGATAAATCAAAGAATGAAGACTATTTAATTACCTATTTATAATAAACTTAGGATTAAGAGCAATCACATAACTATAGTTAACTAGAGATTTGATACCTTATGACAGAAAAATAACCTTAATCAAATCTTTCCTTGATCCTTTCAATATGAATGTTAATTCACACCAATATTTTTTAAAGATTCAGACAAAACGATTTCATAAAATATTGCAACCTAAATAAAGCGCCCAACTTTATTTAATAGTTGTGAACCAATTCATCAATCGTGAGAACTACTACAAAAAGTAGCAAAATAATCAGTGGTTCCTAAATCATTGATTCATCCACTAACCAAGCCTTAACTTACCCATGTATGGTTCTTTTCATCACCTCTGGGCAATTTTTCTTTTAGTGTCCTTTTAGTCCGCATTTGAAGTACTTGTCTTTCGGCTTCTTCATAGCAACTGATTTGACAACTGATAACCAAGTCATTTTGTTCTTGATACCACCCTTGGATTTTCCCTAGGATTTAACAAAACTCTTAACAAAAACTTACACTAACTGCATTCTGTCTAGCAGAGTTGTTGGACGCAGCATACATGTCATTAAGAGTCTGAAGTATCTTTACTATACTCTTAATCATGTTCACTTTCTCCAGCAAGTGTTTCGAAAGATTGACAAGAACATAGCAGTGAACTGCATTAACTGCCCTTTCCCAATCTGAATATTGCATTTTTGTTACCTCAAACACATCCTCTGCTG